TAGGAATGGTAAAAAAACAGTTTAAAACTGTTTTTTATGTTTGTTTAATTAAAACATAAAATGTTTTAAAACATAAACAGCGGAGCCTAATTGTTTAATTTTTGCGCCGACCAAGTTTCACGATACAATATTCGCTTCGAAAAAATTTTCAAACGAAAAAAATTGCGTCATAATTTTACAATAACAAAAATTGCATCATAATTTTACAATCATGTTTTTTAAAATCGTGTTTTAAACCCTAATCTCCTCACGGGACGGGTTTTTTTAAAAACCCGACCGAACCGAAAAAACCGGGTCGGATCACAGATAAGACCCGAAACCGAAAAAACCGGATCCGACCAGAAAAACCCGGACCGAATCAAATCCAGCCAATCAACGTGCACCATTTTATTTCGGGTCGCGGTCGTGTCAGAAAATTCATAGACCCGGACCCGAACCGTGACCAGGTTCGGGTCGGGTCTGCGGAACACTAATCTCTAGAGGTAATGCTAAAAAATCGAAAAAATTTTATTTCTAGACAATTAAATTAGACTATTCATAATAAAAAATACTAAAATTTTTGAACTTCTTTGTGATAATGATCTCTGAGAAGTCATAGTAATTTGAAAATTGCAAGTTTCAAGAATAATTAGGCCATATAAACTTTTATGTTATAAGAACCAAAAATTAACTTTGTATGGCCTTAATACAAGATTTAAATCTATTTATATGTACAGTATCTATCAAGTTCGGTCCATATTAACGAATAATTCAAATGATATGCAAGATCTGCTGTAAATTATTATAATTCGCAAGTATTCATATGAGAGCGTATGAACGAGTCTCCAAAGTTTGTATGAAATTCAATTACCCAAACTTTACACAAAATTATGGGTGTTGTCGATCCATTTGTAAATCAATTTTAAGTGATGATCTACATATAGTAACATAAAATTTTTAACTTAAAAGTTCTTTTTATTCGGATTGTTAAATCGAAATCCAACACTAGCGCTAGATAACGATAGTAAATGCCAAATTAAATAGCGTCATTGTATGTCGTACGAACTTTATAGTACATATGCTCCGTGACAAAGCATTCGACCACTTAAGAACAGAAATTATTTTACCATTACTGACGTTTTATAGGTGGTTGGATACTTTTTTTTGTTCTCTATGCATTTGCGTTATCATTATATCCGAATTTAATCGCTCTTCTATCTAGTGTTGGAAATCATATGTCAAGGTGTTCAAAGCAACATAAATTTTTTTAAAAAAATTGCCATATCGTCATTTGAATTTCCAACACTACTTCTAAGAACTTTTCGGAAACTACGTCGATATCGAAGTTCCAAGAGGTTAAATAATTCTTAGAACGTGTTCGAAGAGGTTTCGGGAGACGAACAAAATGCTTAGGTATCCTAGAGTTTATGAAAACACAAATAATTTTATCTGGATTTAACAATGATATCTAAGCTTAGACGCATTGTGCTATATAACAGAATATAACAGAATCTGGATCTGTGAGTGACAGAGGTAATGCGCCTACATATTTAATCTGCTTATATTTAAATTATACAAACGCACACATTGCTATTTATATGCTTTGTATATAAAAATTTTAAGTTTTTTCACGTTAAAGTTATTAGTATTTAAGGTTAGGTTTAGGGTTTTGGGTGTGTAGAGCATTTCTACTTGCACCACGTACCAATTAATTATTAGTCAGTTTGTGAGTTATCATAGGTGCGTTTTAACAGTATTGCACTCAATGTATATCCGGAAATATTTTTAAATCCGAAATCTGGATTTAAACATTAAATCTTAATTGATTAGAGATGCAAGTAACATAAGCTAATATAAAAGTCATCATATTAAACGACCCAAAATCATGGATTCCAAGGATGTCATCAGCTCAATTGTCGGTTCAGTTCATTAATCGATTTTTATATAAGCCAGATCAAATCCCTTATGAATCCCAGGATTCGTATTTTTTATTATGTATTGAAAATCTCATGCGCATAATTCCAAAAAGAAAACTTAAATGGTTAAAATTATAATCAATTTTAGAATTTTTTTAGATTATAATTGAGTTTGAGCTATTCCCGCTATTCGATGATCAGATTTCTGATCTATTTGTTTACAATTCTCGTAAAAATAATTTTCATTATAAAAATTAAAAACAGCAAAAATTGGTGAATATCCGGATCCACGACTTTATATTGTATGAACGATCGGTAACAAATTTTATGATCGGTCTACAAGATTTAAATTCACATCTAATTTTAACAATTTATAATCTTTAAATTTTCTTTATTTATTTTTTTTCTTTATAAACTCGTGATAAAAATTTAAAGAGTAATCTTAAACAAGAAATTTCAATTTTTTCGTAGAGATAATGGGAGCGTTTAGCAATGGAATGCATAGCAATTTCTCATATACTGGTACATATACCTTACTCACTTTACTCTGATATATTTTGATATATTTTGTAACTTTTTTTTTCTTTTACAATTATTCTATAATCGATGTTGATAATAAAGAGAGATTTGTGATTGAGATATGGATATGGATGTGGTTTATTGCTCGAATATGGCAAACCGACAAATTCAAATTTCTAGAGTGGAGACGAATAAAAAATCTCGAATTAAAGTCAATTATAACTTTATTAATTCTTATCGTGCTACCCATGCAAATTGTAAGTTTTATTCAACTAAAAAAATTTTGTTATATAGCAGTTTATTAATCACGATTATTAAAATATTTATTTATGATACTTTTTAGGCCGTTGATGGGATATGGAATACAGTTAAATATAAAGAAGGTATTTAACAACATTCAATCATTTTTATACACTTACACTTATTACTACTTATTTATTATATTTTTTATTATAATAGGTTTCATAGCTTATTCTGATTCTGATACTATTACCTGTACAGATATAGTTCCATATGATAATATTGATGATATTCGAGTGGTTCCAAGCCCATATCAATGTTGGTCATCTAAGAATCTTTATTTTTATTTAATCGCGGATTATATGCTTTGCGCGATTTTTGCTTTTCAAGCGTACGTATGTGTGCCATTCAAAATGATCAATTCCATAATATATATATATATATACATACATTATATATATTTTTTATAACTATGGCTATTTTTTTTAGAGGAGTTTTATTCCTTATGCAATCATTTTGGAGTTATATGGCTAGTCAATTGAGTGGAAAACCATTCATGGATTCATGGGAATTTCGTGCTTATAATGTGTGGGGCCTCATATCTTTCATAATTTTTCCATTTACAAAATGGTTAACAGGAAGATTACTAAATATAAATTACGTTGGGGTAAAAATGCAATTAATTAATATAATTTAAATATAATTTATGCAAAATATCTGTTGATACTAACTTTGAATTTTTTCAAAATTAGTATATACCTCAAATTCTCTTTGCTATGGTACTTGTTTTTATTGTTATAATTGGGGTTGGTATATAATTATCATTATTTATTATTATTATTTATTATTATTATTATTATTATTATTATTATTTATTATTATTATTATTATTTATTATTATTATTATTATTATCATTTATTACTTATTATAATTCTTCAAAGATACGAAATCAGCGAAAATTATGTTTCCTCGTACGATCACTTCAAAATCAAAAATCTTCACAAGAAGCTATTTTACGAATTAGATATTTCATAGAAATGAATAGATTACTTATTTTAGGAGTGGGTTTAGTTAGCGCTTGCATGTTCATTATTGATATAGATGCTATGACTTTTGCTTATATTAGCAATTACAGAATTTTAATGGATTTAATAATGTTACATATGAACCTTGGTACCGCGATCATTTGGATTACAATTATTTTAATTGTATATCCTAGATATTATATGACTGGAATACATGGAAGTAAAGCATTAAGCAAAAAATCTTTGCGGAGTTTGTCCATCGCTGTGGATAAAACTGGCATAACTATAAGGAGACCTTCTTCAACTCATGAAACCACTGCTCATTTAAATCCTTCTTCTCCGATTAACCTCTTCTATCGCTATTTATCTAATCCTGCCTCACAATCAACACCTTCCTTTTCTGATAATAAAACTGATAATAATTTACTTAATCGACAACAACGTGTGCATTTTGAATAGTTTCGAGATAATTTAGCTCCTTCCACCTTGGACCAACATTACGATTATAATAAGTTTTGATACAATTCAACAACTCCAATATTCATACGATGGCTCCTTCAAAATTTAACGCTTCTTATGTTTCGCCAAATAATCTTGCATCTAGAACTAATATAATTATCATTCATAAAGGAAACTACAAAGGGTTTTTGCATAGATATATATTTTTACGTATTAAAAAATAACATATATTTTGTATTTGTATAGTTTATATTACTATTATTGGAAAGTGTAACAAATAGGTACGTAGCAATGTTAATTTAATCAAGTGGCTCGACAGGTTCAGTTTTTGCAAATTTTTGAAAAAAAACCTTTTCATCTATGGTTGTAAAAACTTTCGAGTGGACTTTTAAATATATATATATTTTTTGTATATTATATTGATATTTTAATACATATAAAGAAAAATTATTTATGTCCGAAAACCAAGTTGGTTGGTTAAGTACGTTGTGATAACTATTTGATTAACTGTGTATAAACCTAATAAAAAGGTTTTACTGTATTGAAATATACGAATATTAACGAGTAAGAATCATCATTGAAAGCTGGGAATGACACATTTTATAGATTTAACTATTATATAAAAACTGATTATTGAATAGAGCTGAATGAGCTGATAACATCCTTAACTGAAGTTGAGGCTGTAATTTGAGGCTTTGATTTAAATAGATTAAGAGGATCTTTAAGCATTCCCTTAGCGAAGTAGTGTAATTTACCATTGATCAAAATGTTTGCTCAATTATCATTATCACCAATTAATTATAATTAATTATCAATAATTAAAAATAAATACGAATTGTTAATTTAACAATAATTTATAAACAGTTAATAATTTGAATTTTTCTATGTATACGATGATAGAACATCTTTACCGAAGAAGATAGTTATATACTGTAAATTTTAATATTTGCTTATTTTCCATAAAAATCGTTGAACTTTAATACTGTATACAGTATTAATATTTGAATATTATTCTTTGACCGATTTTTGAATCAAAATACATAAAATTACTATCATATTTCAATTATTAATCGCTAGAAATGAATTTATTAATTTAACAATAAAAGGGCTTCGCCACAGACAGACACGCTAAAGATCAAATTGTTTAATTTATAGATGCTACTTCGGGGATTCAGCTAGTCATGAAAATTATTCGTGCCTTATATTGTATTTATTATAAAAATTCAATTTGTGCTCGATACGTAGTATGGTATAAAGCAATCGAAAAAAAAGGTTAATGTGTAAGCACCAAGTCGTGCAATGAAATGAAATATAACAATAATCTATAGCGAGACATTTAGAATTTTGGAGGTAGCTACCCCGGCAAAAATATTCCGGCGATACGTTGCATAAATAGAAGTGCCGCATGGCATGCCGTATTAATACCGTATGCCGTCATTCACTTTAATTTAGTGGGCGAATATAAAGATGATCTATTAATCATTGGATTAAAAAAGTTACAAACACTTATTTACTATCCTTCAGATTACCATTCTATTCGGTCAATGAGTATTACAATAAATTTTTAATGATATAAAAATTATATATATTATTTGACAATGATTAAAATGGTAACCTAAATACGGCAAAAGTATACATTGTAATAAAGACATCACGTTTAAAGCATGGTGTTTGGCATGTGATCCCAACAAGTAAAATCGTATAAGCGCGAAATAACGATTGTGGGAATTATTTTGAAAATCGAATCCTTCAAAAATAACTTATATGTTCTCAACATTATCGCTATAGGCATCCCGAAATAACACGCATCCTAATGTAGCACATAATTTATTGTTGCGATAAATGATATACAGTCGACGCTCCATTATAGTTCCGAAATTAAGCACCCCCGAAATTAAGCATCAAATTTTATGTAATATCCGAAAATAAGCACCCCCTATGTATAATCGTATCTGATTTTTTATCAAACAAGTCTACTTTCTGTCTCTAAGTAAAGTTATTCTCCAAGTCAAGACGATTCTAAGGCAGTAAAATCATAAAAATTGGTACAGTAGAACTCTCACAATTGCTCTTCAAAGTTCGGGCGACTTTTGTTTACGAGTATGCAGATCATGGAAAGCAAATGTAAACAAACTCGCCCAAATTTTGAAGAGAATTGCGAAAGTTCTACTGGATAAATTTTTTGATTTTACTGCCGTTAGAATCGTGTTGACCTGGGGAACAGTTTTACTTAGAAACAGAAGGGAGAATTCTATATTATTTATTCTTAAAATTATATACTACTTATAACAAAAAAGGGTGCTTAATTTCGGAACTATACGGTAATACTGATAGATTTTGTGCAAACTTTTACTAACGAAATACAGTTAAACCTCCCTAAGTGCACGCTCCTGGGACCAGTAATGGCAAATGACAAGGTCATAAAAATTTTTATGAAAATGACCATAAATGACATGTTATTTTAAAATGACAATGTCATTTATTATAAAAAAAATTTATACAAAACCATGGCAAAATGACAAGTCATAAAAAATA